TCCGGCTTCTCATCTCTTCTCGCGGTCCTGGGGTTGCTTCTGAGCGGGGCCGAGAGCAGGATCATTCTGGACGCCTACGTCCCGGGGTTGTTCGCTTTAAGGGTTCCTCTGCTAGGCAGGGTTCTGTTAAGGGTTGCTATTACTTATTATTAAAGGTTACTGACAAGGCTCTTGCGAAAGGTTGTTGATTCGGGTTCCGTGAAAGGGCCCCTTCAGCCAAGGTTTTTTTAAGGGCTACCATACCTTATTACAGGGAACTCCAGAAAGTTGCAATATGGCTTCATGGTAGGATACCCTATAATTTACCATAGAAGGGTTAGGATAATCATATTCCAAACCCTAAACCCTAAAACCTAAACCCTAAACCCTAAACTTTCTGGCTTCTACCTCAAGGATTACCAATCAGGGTTTCCTTGAACTGTAAGGTTTCAGCCTCTATTCAGGGCTCTTTCACGGAATATGAACCCTGGGGTCCCAGTAGCAGCGTTTTGTCCTTGTCGCCAAAGTTGAAGAGTATAGGGGCCTGCATAAATAAAGTGGTCCTCACGGTTCCCTAGTGTACTCCCTCAACCCCAAAACCTACACCGTAGCGTACGAGACCTTCAATTCAAACCTTATTCTCATCTTTAGGGCCTTCACTTAGTAGCTGAGTGGCTGAGTGGATAAACTTTACACTTTCTGGGATAATATCACCCACTTCAAAACTAAAAGTGTACACTTTTTGGGGCTTATGAACTCAGCAACGAAGTCTAGATTATATTGATCGGAAGAAGAACATCCTAAGTGTTAAGAGGTTGCTGGGGAGCCCGGTAGTGAAGAAGGTACAAATGCAGCTAGGTAGCTTTTAAGCATCAAACCCCTGGTTTAGGTTTAGCTTTTGCAGTTTAGCAGTTCATCTGTTTCCGGGTGGGGGGTTTAACGGCTTAACTGGGTGTTGTCCTTGCCTTAAAGCGGGTTCCACGCAGCGGATGACTCCTCAAAGCGGCAACCCTGCAGCCGAGCCTTCGTGCCAAAGAGCAGAGTCTTTCGGATTTCACCCATTCGAGCACCTGGTTGGGTATGTTAGCAATGAAAAGCCCTGAACCTTTAACCCCAAACCCTAAACCCTAAACCCCTAAACCCTGAAACCCCAAACCCCGAAACCCTACACCTCTTGACGTTCAAGTTCTCACCGGTGCCAGAAGCCACCGGGTCCCAAAGATGGAGCGAAACTCCAGCAGTGGTAAGAACAGGGCTTTTCGAGGTACATTTTGCTATACATGATCAAGGCCGTAAGGGGGGATTTTTCGTCAGGCTTTAGGGTGTAGCGCTTCCATGTAGGGCTTAGGATGGGACGGGACGGGGGGGGGGGGGAGCATTCATCAAACCTTTACCAGAGCCTCAGGGAGCCACGGAGCTACGGTTTAGGCTTTAGGGTTTAGGGTTTGTGAGGAGTATGGAAGCTTGACTATTGCCAATATGCTTCCTTAAGGTTCCTGATTAGAAATACACTATAAAATGCCCGAAACCCTGTTAATATGGAACCCCCTATAGGGTGTTGGCTTTGGGGTTTGAGGGTTTGGAGTTTAGGGTTTAGGGGTTTCGGCTGCAGAGCTTACGGTCCAGTGTGTAGGGTTTCCAAAGCGCCCTATAAAGCCCGGACCCTAAACCACTTAACCCCTAAACCCTTCAATCATACCCTCGAACTCTAATCCCAAACCGTAAGTTCTGAAACCTAAGCCCTAAACCCTAAAGATAGACCCAAGACCCTGGACTCTACAACCCCCTAGGATGCCCAGTAGTACCCTTATTCCCTTTTTGTAATCCTAGGTTCCTTATAAAGTTACCCAATACCAAAAAGAGAGGCCTTTTTATTCTTAGGTTACTGGGTATCCTAGAGTATCTAAGGTGCTCAGGGTTTTGCCCAACGTTGCTGCGAGCTTTGCTGTGGGCATGGCAAGGGAGCAGCACGTTGTACGCCGAGAGACGGGAGCCAGGGGTCAGAAGAGAGCCCGAAAGTTAAGGGGTTTAGGGTTTAAGGTTTCTTCTTTGTCGAAAGTTAAGGGGTTCGGGCTTGAGGGTTTCTTGGTTGCTTCTTTGTTGCTTCTTGAGTCTAGGCATTTTGAACCCTCTCGAGTTCGGGGATTCTGTAAAGGTTCAACAGGGGGTCACTGAGGAATGAGGGCTTTTGGGCTTCAAGACATTCCTTTCAGTTCGAAGTATGGGTTTGCGGTTTGACGGGTTTAGGGGGTTTAAATAACTTAAGTTCAGGCTTAGGTTCAAGGGTGGGTGTAGGAGATGTGATTAAGCTCTCTGTTAAAGTTGCACGGTTTTGCGTTCAGGGTGCAGGGTTGGGGTCCGGTGTGTTTGGCTGCAGCAGTTTTGCGTGCGGTTGTTTTGTTGCAAGGGTTTTCCTCCCACACGCTATTTCTCCTTGCATCCGTGTATGGCGAGACGCTTTGTCGTTAATTTAGGGCTTAGCTTTAGGGTGTTCCCAGTTGAACTCGTCACGGCACGGATTTCCGGAGGCGATTGGAGGTAATGCCCATACTTTGGACTAGTCAGGATGTTCGGCCTAAACCCCAACCAAACCCGACCCTCAACAACCCTCCTAAAGAACTCCTTCAAGGAGCCGCCTTAATCAGGGCTTTGGGGGTTCCTTATTTATTTTACTTATTAAGGCCCCCGATATAGAACTATAAACCCTTCATAGCACCCTTCCAGGATCCCTTCAACGGAACCTTTTTCTAGTTATAAAGACCCCATATTACCCTGAGTCCCTAAATCCCCAATAGAACCCTTCTAGATCCCTTGTAAGGAACCCTTGAAAGGAACCCTATTCTAGCTTTTAAGGCCCCTATAGTAAGGTGAGTCGTGAGCTTTAAGCGTCCTTTCGTTGAACCCTGGACTCTCCGAGCAAAAGCTGTGCCAAATCCAACCATTTGAAGAGCGACGGACGCTTTTGGCTGTGCAGGGTTGAGGACCAGTTTAGATTTTAGGGCAAGGATTTCGGTTTGGGGTTTAGGGAGCATGATACAATATGATGATCCTGAAAAGGTTGCATGGTGCATTTTATAACGGGTTTTACCCGCCCTACAAAGGGCGTCGTAAGGTTTGCTTTTTGTATGTTAAGAGGATGGAAGCATACATCTTGAGATCTTAGGAGGTCTGTCCAAACTGTTGCTGAAAGGGTTTCATATGTTTAGAATGGAAGCATTACAGCGAGGGTGTGCATTCTAGGTTGATGGCCCGGGGGTGTTTAGGGTTGAGGGTTTAGGAGGGTATTAGGGTTGTATACTCTGGTTCTGCAAGGCTTCTTTTTGCTTACTTTTAGGATTCTGGGGTTTAGCGTATGGGTGCTGGGGGTTTCGAAACAGGGCGTGACTTCAAGGGCTGGCTAGGGCAGGGGTGTTCGGCTGCGATTCGGAGCTAGTCTTTTTGCCTTCTTGCGGCAGCTTCGAGTGAGGTCTGGGGCAGGAAGCCCTGTTTAAGGCCTCAACCCTGACTCTGAGCCCTAAACCCTGAACCCTAAACCCCATGCTCTAAGCCCTAAGCCCTAAACCCCAAGCTCTAAACCCTAACCCCTACACTTGCTAAAGCCTGAAATTTAAAGCCGAAGCCCTGAACCCTAAACCCTAAACGCCAGTGTAGACCCCTTAAAGGAACCCCTATAGATCCCTTTAAAGGAACCCCTATAGATCCCTTCAAAGGAACCCCTAAAACCCTTAAGCCCCAAACCTTGTAAAGCCCAAAGGCTTCGAGGTTCAGCCTCCCGGGCTTCGGTGCTGAATCAAAATCTCACCCCAAGGGTCCAAAGGACCCAATAATCAGGTTTAGGGTTCCTTTAAAGGGGTCTATAAGGGGCCATATACTATAATGGCTACTATAAGGATTCTATAATATAGGGGCCTAATAACTAGGTACTCGGTTTTAGGATAGTAGTTATGTAGGTTAGGATTTCGGAGAGTATATGATTATTAGGTACTTGGACCCTTGGGGTCAGGGGTTTATAGGGTTCCTTTCAAGGGCTAAGGGATCTATAAGGGTTCCTTTAAAGGAATCTATGTTAGGGTTTAGGGTTTACTGGGTTTAGGGTTCAGGGTTTAGCGGGTTTAGGGCTTGAGTATGGGGTTTGGGGTTTAGGGTTTCAGGGTTTAGGGTTTGGGGATTCAGGGTTTAGGGCTTAGGGCTTATAGGGTGTAGGGTCTAGGATTAACCTATATAACTATGCTATAGACATTCCGGGTTCGGGGTTTCGTGCCTGGGGCTTCAGGGCTGACGGCCTAGATCGGCCAATTAGATGTCAGAGCTGAGCGGTTTGAGTTCCCAGAAACTCCAAAGCCCCTTAATTCAGGAACATGAACATACCTCATGCCTCACTAGGTGAAATTTAAGGGCATTATTCCTCAATTAAGGAATCTACCTTCCATCTTCTCAGGTAGAACTTCAGGGTGCTATTCCTTAATGAAGGGGTTTGGAGTGATTGGGAACACTCTAACCCGTAAACCCCAGTATAGATCCCTGTAAGGAAGGAACCGTTACAGGCCCCTTTAGCTAGTCTTTGTGCCTAGTAGAGTTATAAGTTCCTTAAATGCAGATACCCCAATAAAAAACCCTACTTATGACCTACTTACTAAGTCCCCTGCCCCTTCAAGTAGACCTTAAACCCTAAACCTATGGCTCAAGCTGTTACCTCTCGAGACCTTTTCAGGGTGCCCTAGCTTGTCCTTCCCCCGCGACCTGTGAGCATAGGGTTCCCGGGCGACATCGCACACGCTGGCGGCCAGTGCCTCCTGTTCTCCTACGACTTTGTGAGTCCTGTGGCTTCTTGGGCGACCTGGTGAACTCGGCGGCCAGTCCTTCTTCTTGCACTACGTCTTTGCTTGGGTGGGCGAAGGGCTGCTACGTTGGTGTGGTGCCAGGAATTCATTGACCGCTCGTCGTGCTTCCAACCTGGGGCGACTTCCTCCTTCTCAACCTGGCTGACTTCTTGCTCGTGAACCTCATTCGGTGTGGGCGAGATGGCGAATGACGAGTGCACAGGAGGAGCACCCATGCAGTTGGAGGTCGGCTCCCCCACAGAGCTTGCCGAAGATGAGGACTCCGAGATGGAAGGCCTCACCACAGCACAGCGATCCAACGTTAAGTTGGAGAAGAGGAAACGAAGTGGACGAGGTGCTCGTGATCCTGCTGCTGTACCAGTTCCGGGGGAAAGCGATAATGACGACGACGCTGACAGCCCCTCCAAAAGGCCTTCTCGTGGTGAAGATGATGATAGACCGATCTCGGGACGGGAGCTACGTGCACTCCTCTTTGGTCACATGTCAGAGATGAAAGAATCGTGGAAGACCTTCCAGGGGCGACTTGACGATGTGGAACATGCACAGAAGCACACTGGCACGGTCGTCTCTGCCCTTAAGAATAGGACCAAGGTGCTGGAGAAGGACAACCTCTCGAATCAACAGCTGATCCAGCAGAACGGGAGAAATCTTGACGAGCTCACCGAGGAGGTCAAGAACATGAGAGTGCAATTTGACGAGTTCCAACAACGGGCGAATTCAGGTCAACCATGTGCTGCTGCTGCTCCTCGAGGCCCTACCCCAGCTGGTCAAAGTGCAGCTCCACCTGTTCCCTCAGATCCATGGGCCGCCTACCTCGCTCGTCGCAATGCTCCTGCACCAGATCCATCTGAAAGAGAGGGCGCCACCAACGACAAGGACACCTTATCTGATGAGGAGAAAAGAACATTGGTTGTGGGCGGGTGGCTCAGGGACACCAGACGAACCATCATCGAGGAGGAGATTGCACCGATCCTTGCCAGGGACGATATGAAAGCATTGATTGACTCTGAGAAGCTACAGATCTTTGGTCCGAGAAGATCGGTCGGGATGCTCAAGTTTACGCTCAGGACAGGGGAGACCCAGCAAGACCTTCGCAATAGAATGTGGGAAGTCATCAAGCTCCTCGCTAGGGTTAAACTTGCATTGCCAAGCACCCGGACTGTGGACGACGTGAAGACAGTTTGGGCGTCCTTCGTCAAGACCAAGGCAGCGCGGGCGAAGAGTGCACACGTGAGCATGGTGAGGCGAGTGTGCATTGATCTGGCGATGAGTGCGAAGAACGACCAAGGTGCACCCATGTTTCTGGCAAACACCCAGTTCGGCTCCTATGACTGTGACTGGAATTTGGGTACGATTTGGAACGGCTCTGCGAAACTGGCAAGCGCTGTCCACAAGCCACCCAAGGAGGGCGAGCACGTGATTATGAGCGGAGGCTGGATCCATCTAGATGCCATCGCACAAATAACGGGATGCACGATTGACGAGGCTAAACAAGCCTTTGAACGTGAACTGTGATGTGCCTTGGGAGACGGTTTCACCCCATCTCCTTCAGGTGGGGAGAATTTGGTTGATGATACACGTGAGGGGCGACATTTTGAAAATCGAGCTCCTCGTGACTTCAGCTCTAATCTGTGTGGAAGACATAGATGGGGTCGCATGGCACAGTGGAATTTGGGAGGACAAAGTACCTCCCTCCTAGACGTCGCAGCCAGAGACATGGACATTCTAGCAGTTCAGGAGATTTCGAGAGCCGAAGAGGGATGGAATGAGGAAAACAGTGACCTCTTCCACTGGGTCAGCTACCGACATTCATCTCAATGGAGGGGCACAGGCATTGGAATTGCGCAGGATCGCCTCGATAGCATCATCGGCAAGAAGGCCTGCAGTCGTGGTATTTGGATCCTCGCACGAATTCATGGCCTGGGTCGTGTTGTCTTGGGCAGCCTCCACGCCCACACGGGAGTCACGAACCTTGTCTATCAGCAGGCAATCCATGAGTTCATTGGTCAATGTCCAGGAAAATGGAGGCAGTACCCTTTGATAGCAGGCATCGATGCAAACGAAGTACCATGTTGGGTGTCGAATGATGCCGGACAACTAGAATGTGGAACATGTTCCTCCAACATGAATGAACTCGTCGATGGGGTGAACTCTCTGGGGTGTCATTTTTGCCCTCCTCGTCATTGTGACAAGCACACGCCGACGCATTTTCCTAGAGATGAAGAAAGATCTGGTCGCCAGATTGATGTGCTGGTCGCTCGCATGATTGATCATGGTCAAGTCTACATTGACCCTGATCGTCGTCATACCATCGGAACCGATCATGCCACCCTGCACTTTGACATCTTCAGATTAGGGCCACATGCTAAATCTGTCTGGGGTAATGACTCGCGTGCTCGCTGGGTCACTTCGCAGTTGCCGAACACTGAGATTGTCGATGAAGATGATATCATTGCACTTGCCCGCCAGCACACGAAGCCAAGATCATCCCTTGCATATCGTGACACACAGGAGATCTGCAACCTCATTGCCCATGCTAAACAGACTGGCAGCAAAGTGGCCTGGAAAGCGGTACACCGTGCCCGACGTCAAGCGCGCAGGAAATGGCAAGATGACCGCCTATCCAACATCTTGACTGGTGACTGGGAGAAGTTTCGGCAGTTACAAAATGAAAAGTCGAGGAAGAAAGGCTGGTGGGGGAAAATGCTCGACGATCAGTCCTCGAAAGACCTTACGCGCAATGTCAAAGAGCACCTCTCTGTGAAAATGTTTGATGCTTCTGATACGCATTGGGATGAAAGGTTACAAGCACGAATTGACAACGTCAGGATGTCGAGTCCCTACCTGCCTTTCAACATCATGAATGTTCGGACCGAGCTCCAGGAAATGCGTTGTCGCAGTGCAGTCGGGCCTGATGGGATCGGAGTACACTTGTTGCGAGAAATAGCCAATCATGATCATCTCAGCACGCAGTTGGTCGACCTTGTGAATCACATAGTGGAAACGCTTCAGCTGCCCTCCACCTGGGAGAAAAGCTACCTGGCGCTTCTGGCGAAATGTGACTCGCCGCTTAAGCCGAAGGACTTGAGACCAATTGCTGTCAGCTCTGCGTTTAACAAGCTGATCAACCGACTTGTTGCCTCTCGTGCTCTTCCACAGATGAGAAGGGGGAGCAAAATCTCATCGTGTGGGCGTGGCCGTCAAACAGCCGACTTGATTGGGAGCGTCAGCAGACTTAGAGATGTATGCCGCGAATGGCGACTGCCAATGCTCCTGTGCAAATTGGACGTCGCGGGCGCTTTCGATCGTGTTAGCCGGGATAAAGTTGCGGACTTGCTGTGTGAGAGACTCCAGAGGGGCGATCTTTGTCATGAACTACGATATCTCTTGTCACAACTCCACAGCCACATCCTAGAGGGGCGTGTCCCTTGGGGGCGACAAAATCGAGCTCCGCTCTAACTGTGGTATTAAACAAGGAGCACCTGAGAGTGCAGAGCTCTTCGGATTACTCATGGACCATAAGCTGGGAGAACTTTCTTCGTGTCCTCAATGGCGCAATCTGGGGAGACCTTTCGCTGATCTCGACATGGACATGCTGTTCTACCAGGATGACGTGTTCTTGGTTGAATCAGACTTTCCCCGTCTTTGCAGAAGGATCCGGGTGATCGACAAATGCCTCCAACAAGTTGGTCTCAAGCTCGCCACCAACAAGACGAAGATTGTCGCTAGTCCGTGGTATCGAGGCCATCGCAAAGTCAAGATCGGGGAGGATGTGTTCGAAGTTGCGGCCCCCACTGAGGCAATCCGAGTCCTTGGGCTCGACTTTTCGTTGAATGCGCCGCTCTCTCAGCAGTCCAAGGAGCTCATTGCTCGCACAAGAGCGGCAGCCCATCAGCATGCTGACATCCTCAACGCGAAAGGACCCTGGACCAAGAAAGTTGGGGTGATACGCACACTCGTTGAATCGCGCTTCAACTGGTCCGCTGGGGCAGTTCACTGGGCAGGGGACGAATTGAAGAGCCTCAACACCCTTCAACTACTTATCCTCAGACGCGCCTTTGCACTTCGTCGTTGTAGAGATGAATCATGGGTGGATTGGAACAGCCGTACCCTTCGATTCTGTCGGCAGTGGATAGTGGCCCAACAAGTACCTCGCTGGTCCACCCGAGTGCTGACCCTACAACATACACTCCATGGCCACTGGATACGAAGACAAGAGATGGACTGGCAGCAAGAACAGCCTCAAGATTGCCCAGCTGTTCGTGCTTTGAAGTGGAAATGTACAGAGTGGTGGAGGGAGCAACAAGCCCTCAATCCTTCAGTCGGAGCTCGTCATCCCTGTAGATTCTATGCCTCGTGTCCTGAACGCCAGCTTGCCGACTGCCATGGTCCACAATGGATGTGGTATGCAGCTGACAGACAAACATGGTCTGCCATGCGGGGTGAATATCTCACTGCATGGGACGTCAAGTGGACTAAAGGGCGACAACTGGCCATAAAGATGTGACTGTCCGCGATCTCATGTGCTTGTGGCAGTGTGAATGTGATCTTTGCAGATAACATGATGAACCACCAGCGCCTGAGTGCAAGCTTTCGATTTGTGATATTGTGCCTAATTCGTCGTGCGGGTGCTGCCGCTCGACCACATGCAAGTGAAATGTGAAATGCGAAGCTTACTGACTTCCAAGAGCCTTTCTCGAGGTGAACAGTGCAGGAAACTTTGTGCCCTCGCCTCTCTGCCGAGCCATGGCGACCTTCGCTGCTCTACGCCGGTAGCTTCTTGCGATGGCTGTGCTCCACTTCTGCAACATGGCGATGAATGACGACTACCAGGGCGAGTGGGAGAACTCATGGAAGGAGGAAGACCCACTCTTTCGGCATGGTGAACAAGGTGAAGCATGGGAGGACTCCTGGCAGCCTTCGACAACCTCGTCGTCCTGGGGAGACAGTGCATGGAACAATACATCTCCAGGCCAACAAGCTTGGAGCGGTGTTTGGCACGACTTTGACTCCAGCCTTGGGATCAATGATGAGGCACCTACGGCGAGCAACCCCTCTACGGCAGTCGAGACTACAGCATGGGACCGCGACATTTGCTTGGCCCTCAGTCACAACCCCAGTGAGCTCTACGAACTTGCACCGATACCGGAGAACATCCCCATGCCCTTTGGGAACAGTCAGACGGGAAGTGAGGTAGAAGTCACTAGCCAACATGACCATGATGCTGAAGAAGATCCTGACTGGCTTGTTGGACTACGGGATCATCGAGCACTACGTGGAGGAGTTTCTTCTTCGTCATCGAGTTCCTCATCGTCTACGGCGCCATCAGGGTTGACATCTATATTGAAGAAGTCTCCGGCTGCCTCGACTTCCTTGACCTGCTCCTCCAGTTCGTCGTGGAACTCTGCATCTGCTATGCCCTCCTCCAGCTCCTCTAGTGACCAAAAGCCGCCCTCCTCGGATGAACCGTGTCGGGGTGATGGTGGTCTTACACAACGAGGAGGTCGTCTTCGTGAAGGTCGGGATAGATGGCATCATGAAGATGGGACAGTGCGCGTACGACTCAGGGAGCAGAACGACCCGGTTGACTCGAGACCTCAACTTGCCCTGCAGACGGCACTGCCGAGCTCTTCATCAACACAGGTGTCCCCTGGGTCGGCGTTCGTGGTTGTAGGGTCGGAATCGTCTTCACCGGAGCCAGTGGTGCATGTTCAGGATTTTACGGGTGAAAGGTTTAAAGTACGTGCAAGTGAGGCGTCGATCCGCCCTCCAGTTGAAAACAGCACCACAGCCGGGGAAGAATGTGATCGATCGTCCTCAAATGAGACGACCTGGCCAAGCTCCTCCTCGAATGCCACTACCGAACAAAGTCAAGGCTTCTATCGGCATGGCCAGTGGATCAACCGACCCCGGACTGATGAAGAACTACGACGACACAAAGGAGGCGGAGGTATTCAGCGCAGTCTTAAACGTGAACATCGCATGCGAGAGTACCTACGGGGCGAATGGAAACCGGCCTGGCTACGCCGCTACATCTCGGATAGAGCCTCTCGCATGAACTCAGGTGCTGGGCCACTACCGTCGGCGGGTGTTGACTCCTCGGCAACATCTACTGCGACTGCCAATGACGATGAGGGGCTGACATGTGATCAGCCGCTTGGAGAGACGGAGGACGACGACTCATGGTGGACCTCCTCTACAGCGTGGACATGGACAACGGCCGAGTGGGAGGACTGGCATAACTGGAGAAACAATTCCTGGGATGGATGGGATGCTTCAACCTCTTCTTCCACCAGCTCAACGACCACATCGTTGTGCCCGTGTTCATGGCCTTCGTATAGTGGGGTGACTTTGACATCGAGCTCCCCAATATGCAGTGCGATATCGTTGTTTAGTACATCAACCTCTTCGACCTCGAGTTCTACGCCCTGCAGTACATCCTCGACTTTGACACCTAGTTCATCGCCATGCAGCACCACGTCAACGATGAGCACATTGGCCTCATGGACCTCCTCAACCTTTGGCTCTTCCCACCTTGGCGCCCTCTTGGTCACCAACATCTCGACTCTAGACGTACTAACTTGCTGGCCTACTTCGTCCTCGACTACGACGTCCCCTCTAGTGATGCCGCCGATGGAGGACGAGATCAATCGTGATTTTCTGTTTCCCCATGTCACGGCTATCTCCTCCACTGTTAGGGGGCGAGTTGTTTCCAGTGACCCATACATCGTGCACTTCGTGGATGAGTCGGAAGGGACGAGTTTCATGCAGCTGAGGAACTCTGAACGAGCCACACTGCAAGAAGCCGGGCTTTCGCAGGCAAGTATCGCAAGAGCCGAAAACCTCATGGACCAACTACAAAATCACCAAGATCAGGGTCGAGGACCTGAGGCCAGATGGGCACTCTCCTGTCTCCTTGACCGTGCTGCTGATGGTGAAGACGCCATTGGAAGACTAATGAGTATCATGATGCGACGCCTACAACCGCAGGGCTACTACCCGATCAGGAGGGTGCCGCGTACTGAGGCTGACCGGAACCGGATGTACGCCTGGGTGCGTCAATATCAGACTTTATTGCGGCAGACTTTCGAGGAGTCCATGCAAAGACCTCTTGGAGCCGCAGACGCAGAATCTGACACACCAGCACCTATGGCGTCCTCGAGTGAATCGCGCCATGATGAGGGCGACACCACCCACTCTGAGCAGGCCTCCAGCTCTACACTGTCCGTCCCGTCAAGACGTAGACGCACGCAAAGTGGTGAGACATGCAGTGATGCCGACGCATCCCTTCACAGCTCTGTTGCCCTCAACTCTGCCGGTGAAGAAGTAGAGGTACCCTCCGCGGATCCTGGGGCGTCGCCGAATGGCCCGCCTCCACCGGTTCCTGTCCTCTTTGATCCTGCCGAGCTGCAGGGCATCTGGCGTGACCCACCAGGTGAAAGTTGGGAGGCCTCACCAACTGAGGAGATCACGAGCACCACTACCAACATGCCGACGACATCATCTTCGACGATGTTCACTTTGGCAACGTCACCGGGGATGACTTTGGAGGCATCGTCTTCATCACACCCGTCGCCTGGTTTGTCTGCACTGAGGGAGACCTGGTTACCAGATGTTACTGAGGAAGTGAATCAGGACGCCACAGTGGTATTGGTGCAGTATGGGGTCACATGGTCATCGACTACCTCTACGACGAGCTCGTCCAGTTCAGTGCCACCCGGACTGGTATGGCCCGAGCAGATTGTGCGGGACGCCCTCAACAACCAGTTGGTGAACTGCGCGCAGGTGGATGTCATTGACACCATTCGCCGTCTGCTTGACCGCCAGCGACATTTACGGTGTCTTGAAACGCGACTTGGTGAGGCCATCGAGGAGGCCCTAGAATGGCTACACGTGCCGCTTGCTGCTCAACCAATGAATGGGGCCATAGCTGCCGGTGCAGTTTGGCAAACTGTGGTTGATGAAGCTGTGCATGGATCTGGCCCCACTCCGACGATACCGAATCATTGGACGAACGATCCCAGTGTACTCCTGCAACCTGGTTTCCCACGTGACCTACATGAACTTGGTTCGGCTTTACCTGGGATGTCTCGCTCTGCAGTTGCTGGGTATCGTCGACGAGCATGGAGACGTCATGTCCAATCCCTGTATGAGGACGAAGGCCTCCCCACACCTATAGGGAATTGGCCGGATGAAAATGATCGCCCACTCTTCATGATACAAGCCGATGACAGTGCTGAGATACCCAACTGGCCACCGTCTGTCCCTCGGCCAGAAGCTCCAATTCGTGATCGAGGCTATCAACGAGGTGCCGGTCGCCGTCGACATTATGCCCCTCGCCCTCGTCCACGACAAGTTCCGCATAGTGCCGATCCAGTTGTGACCATGGTGATGGGTGGGACTTCAGGAACCACGGCATTGAGTGCGTCGGCGACCGCAAGTTCGTCTACTCTGAGGGCTTCTATGGCGAGTGGGAGTGTGGTCGTGACTCGTGAACGTAGCAGAAGTCGTGATCGCCCTGGTTCTAACTCCACCTCGTGATCGACTGTATGTGGTAGCACACGTGAGCAGCTCCGGAATGAATCTAGATTTGAGTGTTTTCTTTGAGGTGCAAGTCCGCAAGGGCAGGCGCTGGACTCGTTCATGCGAAGAAAGAGCCACTGCATTAAAAAAAAAAAAAAACCCATAGGTCCCTTTAAGGAGCCCTAGAGATCCCTTCAAGGAGCCCTTACTACGTCCCAAAAGCCCTCCAAGTGGGTGGTTGTCAATATTAGGGTCTAATTTTGACAACTACCCATATGGAAACGCTACTCATGTCCCCTTAAAGATCCCTTATAGATCCCTTTAAAGGAACCCTAAACCCTAAACCGTATCTGGGTTCAGGGCTTGAAACTATGAGCCGAAGCATCTTCGCTCTTCCACCCGGCCGCCCGAATGGCAAACGGCCCTTCCCTGAACAAAAGGGGCCTTGATAGGTTTTGGGTTTAGGGTTTGGGATTTAGGGTTTAGGGTTTAGGGATTACGGTTTAGGATTTAAGATTTAGGGTTTAGAGGTTTAGGGGTTAGAAAAGTATTTCGTGGGGTTCCGTGTATTTAAGAGCTATGCTCTACTGTACCCCAAACCCTAATTTAATAGTTAGAATAGTATTCTTTGGGGTTCCTTACAAATTGTAGTTATACTACGTAATATTGTAGTTATGGTAAGTATAGGGGCCTTAAACAATCAGATCTGATTATTAAGGCCCCTGTGTTATTCAGCCGGGAACCGCAGAAACGCTCTCCGATGCAGAAATCTTTGGCATAACACAGGCGCGCGAATGGAAGACCATCTGGGCATTCACAGACATGTTTAGGGTTTTGAGTTTCCGACAATTAGGGGTACCTTGTTTTGGGGTCCTTATAATTAGGATCCTACTATTTAGGGTACTACGAATAGCGTTTCCATATGGATTCAGTGCTGTTTCTTCGTGGTGTAGGGAAACTCTCATGTCTTTCCAGGCCATTCTCTTTCTCTCTCTCTCTCACACAGACTCTCTGTGTTGTGCCGTGCGTGGACGATTCCCTGCTTTTACAGCGACGAATACCAGTGCAGGATTTTATCGATGAGCCGTCAATTAGCTGCATATTTTTTTTTGCTAGAGTGGTGCTAAGTAGAGTTGCCACCATGCAGCTCCCCAAGAACTAACTATGGGACCATTTCCAGGAGACCCTAGACCACCTGAACCCCTAAACCCCTGAACCCCTGAACCCTAAACCGTGTTCAGGCCCCTGGGGTTCTCGGTTTTCTGGCTTCGGTGTGTTTGCGCAAGCATCCAAAGCCTTAACAGACCTTAGGCTTTAGGGTTTAGGGGTTGAGGGAGCCCTACCTTTACCATGTCTCAGCCTATTTATGCCACGAAATCCCGACATAGTCCTTTATACAAGCCCTTGAAGAAGTAGGCAATTAGGCAAGCCCTGATTTCTAAGCCCTGTGTTCTAGCCAATGAACCCTAGACCATATCGCGTATAGAGCCCCTGCAAAACACAGTATCAACGCCCCAAGCACAAAACCCAAAACCCTAATTCCAAAACCCTAAACCCTAGCTAAACCTAAACTCCTAAACCTTAAGCCGAATTCCTAAACACTGAGGCCCTTGCTTGAGCTGCAGGAACGTTAAGGAGCCTTGAGCGGCACCCCTAAAGGGCACTTTAGGGGTTTTGCTTGAAGGGTACGAAGGGTTCTACGATAAGGGGTTCTTTGGCGTTCCCTCCAAAGAGGCCTTAAGATGGAAGCTTTGAAGGGAACCCTGAACCGAACCTTTCAAAGGAACGAATTATCGAGACTTCATTTTGCTGGCAGCCAGGCGTTCCGGGACATGGCGCCAGGATTCCGCGGAACGGTTTGCGGGTTCTTGTTAACGACCTGATGTTTAGTTACCGTGCCGCGATCGGCATCTATGGGTATCAGCTGGACGAGGGTGCAGAGACTTCTTTCTCGTGGACTCTAGGAGTAGAAAAATCTTTTTGGTTCCTGATACGGTTTCCTTCCGGTGGTAAGTTAAGATGAGTTCCTTAACAATGATCCAGGCGTTAAGAGTTCCTACAAGGGCTCTGTTGCGAGTTCCTGCAAGGGCAGACTTTCTTTGAGGGCTTCAGGGGTTTAGGGATTTGGGGGTTTAGGGGTGAAAGGGTTTAAAGCTTAGGGTTGAGGTGCCTTGGGGAAAAGGGGGTTTAGGTCTTTGAGATTTAGGTCTTTGAGATTTAGAGTTTTGAGGTTTCAGCTTTTGAGGTTCAGGGGTCTAGGTATAAAGTTTAGGGGTCTGAGGTTTAGGGTTTAAGACTTACCTCGGGTTTCAAGGTTTACAGGTTTCAGATTTGGGTTACAGGCGCCTTGGGGTTTTGGGCCGGGATCTTGGGCCAAGGGTGGCAAAGGGGTCCACGGTTCGGGGTTTTTCCTTTTCAGATATAGCTATGGTAAAGAGAACTTTTAGGGTCGAATATGGGGGTGTGAATACTTGGCGTTTAAACTATTCCCTTTGCAGCCCTTGTTTCGTGGACGAGCCCTTCCAAGAACCCTTGCAAGAGCCCGAATTGAAAAGGAACCCTTCGAAGGAATCCTTCAGGGCGGCCCCATTCCAATCTTTGAGGCCCAGATACTACAGAACGTTTATAGAAACCCGTAAAAGGCACGTGCAAAGGAGCCCCTTCCAGGAACCCTTTAGGAACCCTGTCTGAAGGCTCCTAGATGTGCTATCCGAGGCTTAGGCACAGGATTTATGTGGTTGGTTCCTGGGTCTTGTGGGGTTTACGGTTACTCGTACGGGATTGCAGGGCTACAAGCACCATCAGAGGGCTACCGAGTAAATAGTATGCATCCCTTCTTATGCTAGCTCAAGATACGTTTCTGAGCAAGAACCCACCCTAAGCCCTAAACCCTTAAACCTTACACCCCAAACCCTATCGATCCCTTTAAAGGGCTCCTTACAGATCCCTTTAATTTCAAGATTTCAGGGTTAGGCTTGGGTTGTGTGGTGGGCCTGAGCCTGTGGGAGGGGTTTGAGGAGTAGGGGCCGTAGGGTCTTACAGTCGGGGATTTGAGGGGTTCCTTAGGGCTTTGGGGGTTTTAGGGTTTGAGGGCCGGTCGTGGCCCAACCTTTCCCTGCAATCTGTGCCCACAAGCATAGGTTTGGGTTTAGGGTTTAAGGTTTAGGGTTTAGGGTTTAAGGTTTAAGGTTTAGGGTTTAGGGTTCAAGGTTTGGGTTTAGGGTCTGGGTTGGCTGAGGACTGAGTGTTAAGGGTTTGCCAGCATCAGACGGCTTCAATCTCACACATGGGTGGTTGTCAAAATTATGGTCTCTTTTTGGGGCCCTCATATAATACGGCACCTAATACTTTGGGTGCCCCAACAAGGGACCATAACTTTGACAACTACCCACATGAATGATTTGTCGCCGAAGTCCAATTCTTTAGCTTCAAGGTTGATGTCCGAATCTGCCAGACGCATGTTTAGGGAGTTTAGGGAGTTTGGGGTTTAGGGCGCTTAAGTATCCCATGGACCGCGCAACCCGACAACCAGCACCTTGCAAAGAAGCTACGAATACCTTGCTCTGCCAAGCAAGGTGCTAACAGACACAGAACCCACACTGTAGAGAATCGCGGCAAACCGTAAATGCCCGACCTCCCCAACATGTCCTAAACCCTCACCCTTCCCAAACTCTTGAGCCCTAAGCCTCAGCTTCTTCAGCACTCCGACATTCGCTTTTTGCTTGTGTTGAAATTAAAGGGAACTCCAGAATGTTGGAATATGGAATAATGGCAGGATCCCCTATAATTTACCTTAAAGGGATTATGATAATGATATTCCAACTTTCCGGCTTCTACTGTAAAGGGAAGAGAGCAGTACAAAGATGATGGCTGCTCTTCGGTTCCCTCTCGTTTCGGCCTGCGGCCGCGTTTCAGCCGCCTCCGGGGTGCTGCGGAGCTTTTCCTCGGAGTCGTGGACGGATTTAGCAGACTTTCGTTGTTTTGGTTTTGGGGTTTGTATTTACAGATCATATTGATTAATTATGTTTGTTTGTGTGTGCATATATACAACAGAAATAAGTATGAAAGCACGTGTATACTGTATACATAGATGGATAAAAACAAATAAAAATGATATATAAGCATCTGTTCATCAGCCACTCCAACACATGACTACATAAGTACACTGTCGACATAAAGTGATGCCTTGAATCAACAAACAGTTGAATAGATGTATGAATATGTATATATATATATATATATATATGTATGTATATGTCTAAGTGCACAAGTAAGAAGAAAAAGTAAATGACTAAACATACAATTAAGGAAGCAGATAACTAGGCAAATAAATAGCTTTTTGTTATACTTGATTATATGTATATACGCATGTACGGACACACACACACACACACATATATATATATATATGTATACACACAGACATGTTTGCACACACACCTACCTGCATACATGTCAGCAGATACAGATGTTAAATGCAAGTGAAGGTAAACCTATGAATAGTTCTGAATATGCATAGCCAACTGTGCGTGTGTGTATCTATTTCTTTATACATCTAGCTAGCTAGCTATCTACCTATCTATTTGTGACTTTCTTTGGTTTTGGGGTCTTCTCCGTTTAAGGTTTTGGAATTAATAGGGTTCCAGCATGTTGGGTTAGTGTTTAGGGCTCGCGGCTTTGGGTCAAGGGGTTCGAAGTAGTGCTTGTAACGTTTCCTGCTTTAGGTCTCTGGCTGTTACTATAGGGGCCTAAATAATTACCTATACTGTTTTGGGGTTCCGCGTTATAGTTATAGTATAATGGGCCCCAAAACCCTCTTCTAATTATTAAAGCCCCTATATCATAAGACCCTTATAGCATCCCTTTTAGTAACCCTTATAGACCCCTTTTCTGGGAACCCTATTCTAATTATTGAAGCCCCTATATCATAAGACCCTATTAGCATCCCTTATAGTAACCCTTACAGACCCCTTTTCTGGGAACCCTATTCGAATTATTAAAGCCCCTATATTAGTTGATAGAGCTTCGGCCAGAAAGGCTTAGGGTCTCGGGCTTCTTTGGGAGCCTTGTTGCACACTACTGTTGATGGACGAAAGCCTGCATGACCCTAAGGACCCTAAACTATGGGAATTATGGTATATTCCTTACTATGGGTCATGCAGGATTTTGTCCATCAACAGTAGGATGAAAGTTTCTTCGCACTGGGGCCACTAGGGTTGATAATATAAGTCCTGCGTTACACATAATAAGGAATATACCTTAGGAGCTGCCGCCACCCTGTAATAGTGGTATAATAGGAGTATAATAGGGCCCTAATATAATCCTATATAATCCTTATGGTCACTATTACAGGGTGGGGGCAGCTTCTAAGGAATACACCATAATTCGCATAGTTTAGGATCCTTACGGTAATGCCGTCGTATATGCTTTGCTGACGGAGGACTGGTAGTACCAGGAAAAGCATGTTAGTTACGTGGCCTGGCCAGTGGAGGTATTTCGGCGATATCTCAAGCATATATGGGAGTTTCCGAAAATAGGGGACCCGAATATAGTACCCTAAATAGTAGGATCCTTACTATAAGGAGCCCCAAAATAAGGGACCCCCCTAATTTTCGGAAACTCTAAACCCTTTATAGATCCCTTTAAGGAACCCTTAAAGGACCCCATTTTGTACAGGAAGAGTTTCTCAAGGTCGGAAGACTCGAGGGAGCACGGGGTTCGCAAGTACGTACAGTGTGGGCAGAGCTGCCGGCTGCGACGAAGATTCGTCCTCCCGCAATTTTCAGTAGATAGTTTCGAAGGGACTTTGTAGGAGTCTGCACGGACCTCGTCTTACTTTAGGCGAGCTTTTGTTGAGTCTATGCAGGCTCTTGGGGCGTCGCGCCTTTCTTCGTCATGTTCGTAGATTAGGGCACGAGGATGCACGAGAGAGTCAAGGAATCCCGCGCAACCATGAACACCTTCAGCTCCAGCCGTAAACCCTAAACCCCCCAAAAGCAAAAGCCTCACTCCTAAACCTGCCTCCCGATACCGTACCGGTGGTTTGTCCAGGATACCGACTCTTACATCAACAAGATCTTGACTGCCAAGGCGTACTGCTGGGTGAGACCATCACCCGAAACCCAAAGCACTAAGCCCTGAACCTTACAGCCTCTACCCTCAAACCTTAATCCTGAACCCCAATACTAACCCGTAAATCCTAAACCCTTAATCCTAAGCCCTACATCCTAACCCCGGCCACTCTGAACCAAGCCCCTGAAGACTTTTGGTTAGTCCGATCCATTCGTCGATAAACTTCAGGTACCATCCCAGAAAGGCTTCGTTCAATAGGATCTAGGACCTAGAGTAGGCTCTTATTCCCTTTTTGAGGGTTTAGGTTCCCTTATAACCTGCTTTAACCCAAAAAGGGCACCCTTTTTATTCCTGGGTTACTCTTAGGTCTAGGGATTTAGGGCTTTAGGATCGCATTTAGGGTTTTGTTTAGGGTTTTGGGCTTGGCCCCTAAACCCTAAACCCTAACCGGGTTTAGGATTCGAAGGCTTAGGGTTTAGTGCTCGGGGTTTGAGGCCGCCAACGACTCCTAAATAGTTTGACATCGTAGTGCAGATGCTCAACAAGGGACAAGATACGGTTGATACAATAAATACTGCATTACCTCAAGGACCCTAATCTTTGGGAGTTATGCTACATTCCTTATTTTTGGCAAGGGGCAAGATACGGTTGATGATATAAATTCTGCATTACCCATAATAAGGAATATACCAGAATTCCCACAGTTTAGGGTCATTAAAGTAATGCATATATTATCAACCGGAGGACGGGATACGAACCTCCAGTGGGGTATGTTGGAGTATTGGCGTAAGTCAGAGATATCTGTTCGACCGAACCTACCCTCGTACTTGCACATCCAAAACCCCAAACCCAAAACTCTGAAACCTAAAACCGAAATCCCACGCCCTTAACACTTACAACACCCTGACAATGCAACAATTCAAGCTAGATCCCAACACCCGAACTCGAGAGCGTCACCGGAACCCGTACAATCTAAATCTTAAGCCCAACACCTGTTCAAACCCTAAACCTTATGAATGTAAAATCCACAACCCTAAACCAGAAATCTGCACACAAACCCTAAGTCCAAAATAGTAAACCCTGAGAAAAAGTCATGCAGAACACGTCAATCCATGAATATAACAGGTCTACGACGTGTGCAAGCGGACGGATCTGCATTTTGCCCCGACGCTTTCACAGAGAACAGGTACCTCTGCTCCATGGTGGGTTTATGACTTAGGGTTCACCCCAGACCCCCGGGAGGATCCAAAAAGTAGATCCCTTAATGGGGGTTCTTATGAAGTACCCTTAGTAGTATAGGGCCCCAGACTTTCTAGATTCTCCCGCGGGTCTGGGACTGGGCTTTGAGACCACGATTTTAGCGTTTAGGGTGTAGGGTTTATAGGGTCTCGAAAGCGGGGCTCCATGTAAGAATCGCAGCAAGCACTGCTTCTGAAAGCGTTGAAGGGGTTGGGATTAAGGGCTCGGGGTTCTTATTACTTGGAGGTGCAGGGGACTTAGTAAGTATGGTTATAAGTAGAGTTATACGTACCCTAAATGGAGTTACCCCCAAATATAACCCTACTTATAACCCTACTTACTAAGTCCGCTGCCCCTCCAAGTAAGGACATCAAACTGCCACATAAGGAAGTCGCGCCTTTTTCATATCTGTGTTTTCTCCTAGCAATGGAAACCCAGGTAGCGGTCTTGAGCAAGCTCCAGAATCCGAGCTCCAGAGACCCTAAAACACGAAACCCCTAAGGTAGGAACTTAGGGCTCCTTTAAAGGGGTCTATGAGGGTTCCTATAAGGGATCCTGTAAGGGTATATACCATAATAATGTAGGAGCCTGATAAAGAAACCCTGGGTCTATAACCCCAAAATAGTAGGATTCATACAGGGAACCCCAATAAAGGTCCAGGTTTTCTTAATCAGGTTCCTACATTAACCCTAACCCTAAATCCTTTATAGTACCCTTTATAGAATATATAGATCCCGTATAGATCCCTTCAAAGGAGCCCTTATAGAACCCTACATTAATCCTAGTTCGAAGCACCTTAAATCGGGCCTAAAAGTCTAAACCCTCGGGGGCCTAAGCCTTAAATCAAACCCTCATACAGCTTTAAATCCCTAAACACTAGGGAGTTTCCGCAGCCCATGCAAACTTAGAAAAAGACAGAATTTGTCATGGAGCTTTAGTGTGACACCAAAGGCACAGAATTAAAGTGTGTAGGGGCTAAGGGGTTTAAGGAGTTGGGGGTGTGGGCGTTAAGCGGTTGAAGGAGTTTGGGGTATAGGGGTCAAGGGGTTTAGGGAGTTGAGGTTTAAGGTTTGCAGGAATCACTGCCGTAGAGCAGCCCTCAAGCGGTTGTGGGCAGCTCCTACACTAGTTTCGCATATTCAGCCTCAAGCAGGGGTTGAGGGTTTAGGGAGTTACTTGGAGGAGCAGGGGACTTAGTAAGTAGGGTTATCAGTAGAGGTATAAGTAAATGGAGTTACCCCAATTATAACCCTACTTATAACCCTACTTACTAAGTCCCCTGCCCCTCCAAATAGACCCTAAACCCTAAACCCCATAGATCCCTTTAAGGAACCCTATAGATCCCTTTAAGGAGCCCTCTAAGAACCCTTACTAAGTCCCCTGCCCCTCCAAGTATTTCCCCCAGACCCATCATCCCTGAACCCTGAACCCTGAACCCTAAACCCTAAACCCTAAACCCTAAACCCTGAACCCTAAACCCTGAACCCTGAACCCTAAACCCTAAACCCTAAACCCTAAACCCTGAACCCTGAACCCTAAACCCTAAACCCTAAACCCTAAACCCTAAACCCTAAACCCTGAACCCTGAACCCTAAACCCTAAACCCCAATCCTGGCACAGTTGATCTAGCCCTAGGGCTCTAAGGACTCATATAGGGGTTCCTTTAAAGGGATCTCTAAGGACTCATATGGGGTTCCTTTAAAGGGATCTCTAAGGACTCATATGGGGTTCCTTTAAAGGGATCTCTAAGGACTCATATGGGGTTCCTTTAAAGGGATCTATAAGGGGTCCTTTGAAGAGATCTCTTGGGCTCTTTTCTATTAAGGCTTAGGGGCCGACAGACCATAGTAGAGAAGGCTTCTGGGCCATTTTGAAGGGTTGTAGAGTTTTGGGCTTCAGGGCTTTAAGGGGGCTATTCTGATTCCCAGGGTAGGGTCGTAGAGCTTTGGGCTTTAGGGTTTTAAGATTCGGAATTTAGAGCTTGAGCGCTTGTATCATGATTGTAGTATAGCGGGCCCCAAAACCCTAGTCTGGTTATTAAGGCCCCTATACTAATCCTAAAACCCTAAACCCGGTTTAGGATTTGGATTTTTTCTTTAGTGTATGAAGGTCAAGGTCCAGAGTTTGGGGGTCTGTGATGTTAGATGATTGCAGCATCTGTCGATCAAGACCCAAGGACCCTAGATCCGATTTCCTGCAAAACCTGACACCTAAAGCATGAAACGCTACACCTGTAGCCCTAAACCCTAAACCCTAAGTCCTAAACCTTAAACCTTAAATCCTAAACCCTAAACCTGTAACCCCAAACCGTGATCTAAACCTCATATCCCAAAGCTCTCAAGGCAACCGCGTCTTCCTGAAGCGCCGGGATTCCCAGACCCAGAAACTCCAGGGTTTAGGGTTTAGGATTTAGGGTTTTGGGTTTAGGCGCTGGATGTAGGGTTTAGAGTAACGCCCTTAGTCAAGGAACATTTAGTGTTCTATACGTTTTCCTCTTCGGAACCTAAGGTTTAATGAGGGTTTCATAGGGGTTGTACGGCAAACAAGTTCGGAATGCCCCTCAATTGAGGACTGTGCTTTCAAAACAACTTAGGGTTACTATTTCTTGTGGAGGGGTTTCGGAGTCTCTTGGCGCACGGATTGGGCGGCGCTTTTTGGTTGTCGTCGTCCAGGGTCTAGGCTTTAGGGTTTACGTCTTCTCATCCTTATCCACATCGTCGTCGTCTTCACGCCTCCTGCTCCAGCTCCTCTGAGACAAACCGAGAGAAGACCCAGCTAAACCTGTTGGGAGATGTGCGTTTCTGTATGGAGCTTCTCAGATGACGATTGCAACAAGTCAGTGGAGTCATGATTTCGCATCATAGAGCCTGTCAAAGCACGGGCTTGTTTTCCAGCTTTCAGTAGGATCTTGCAGAAGAACCCCACTTCAGTTGGTAGACGAAGGGAAGGCATCTTGCCTGCTAGACATCCCTACAATACGTAGTAGTCTTCCCTTAACAACCTCCGATGAAAAGTGTCGTTGCCACTGGAACGTTCCGAATGCCAGGGGAGGACCAGCAGACTGTGTATAGCTTCAAGCTCCGGGGCGCCTACAACAAGATCGTCAACTTGTGCCCAGGCTTCAGCGCTTAGCGCCTTGGGTTAGGGTTTGGGGTTTAGGTTTGAGGGTTTACAGGGTTTGGCGTTTGGTTCCTAAAACAACACAGCCTAAACCCTAAACCGGGTTCAATGTTTTGTGGTTTGGGGTTTCGACAGAACCAACACTGGGAACATGCAGACTGCATGCCCAGTCCAAGCCGAAACCCTGTACCTCAATCGCACAAAGACCCTAAACCCTATGACGCCTCTTCCGGAACTGGGATCGAGGCCCAACGGGGCGCCTCTCCTTCCGGTTTTGGTGTTGGGTACTTCAAGTGGAGCCGGAGCGTAATTCAAACTCTGGGTGGTGACAGCATACTTCAATCATGTGTAGACAATCCAACTGTTGGATGGTGCTCTTGTTTGCTTCCGCTTCTTTTGCTGTTGTATCCTTTCATTCAATGCTTCCGATGTGTTTGGGGTTAGAGTGTAGGGGTTTAGGGTTTAGGCGTTTAAGGGTTCAGGGTTCAGGGGTTTAGGGGTTTAGGGTTTAGGCTTAGGGTTTACTGTCTGCAGCCTTACTGAAGGGCGGAGCTGGGTGCCAAAGATTCCCTGCTCCACAGACAAAGCCTTGCAGGTGCCCAGTTTTGTAGGCACCCCAGAGAGCCCAATACCCCTTATTTACGGAATACAGCTTTCATCAGTCTATGTTCCTCTATAGCTATATTCCTTAATTAAGGTGTCTTGGGCTCTCTGGGACTGCTCTAGTTCATCTGACCCTAGACCCTGAGCCCTGGAACCCGAATTGAAAAGCCTGGAACGCTGAATTGTAGAATCCTAAATTTGAAACTCACCGTAATCCCCAAACCCTAACCCCTAACCCCTAAACTCTAAACCCCGAACTCCCAAACCCTAAACCCTAACCCCTAACCCCCAACCCTAAACCCTAACCCCTAACCCCTGAGCCCTAAACCCTAAACCCGGAACCCCAAACCCCCAAAAGACCAGAACTGCTCCGGCCAATGAGACACCCAGAGAGCCCAATACCCCTTAATCAAGGAATACAGCTTAAATCATAGTCTGAAGCCCTGTACACTTCAAGCCATATTCCCTAATTAAGGGGTATTTGAATCCCTAAACCCTATAGATCCCTTTAAAGGAACCCTAGGCATATTCCTTAATTAAGGGGTGTTGGGTCTTGGGCTCTCTGGGCACCTCAGGTCCGACGATGAGAAGGCACGGGGCATCTGCGCCTGCTCTGCAGGGTGCCTTTGTCCAGAGGAAGAGCTTAGTAGCTGAGTGCACTAAACACTTTTTGGGGATAAGATAGCCCCTTATAGAATTGACTTTTTGGGATAATATAGACCCTCATAGAATTGACTTTTTGGGATAAAATAGCCCCTTATGGAACTGACAGTGTACAACTTTTGGGACTTATGAACTCAGCAACTAAGAGAGGAGTTTTGCGTTTTAAAACTTAAAATTACTGTTGTAGGCTATAACATGTTATAACTAGAGTTATTCTACTTGTAAACCCTACTTACAACTACCCATGAACCTCCAAGTAGGCATAGGCCCAGGGAATAGTGATAGTGGTAGTGCTGGTCTTAGTCGCAGTCGTAGTTGTAGGAGGAGGAGGAGGAATAGATACACCCTAACCTCCAAACCCGAAATCTTCGACCCGAAACTTTAGGCCGTACGCTAAAGCCCGGAGCCCAAACCGAGAAGCCATGCACCTCGATTTTGAGTTTCGATAGTATCGGTTGAAATATTCAAGCCCTGAGCCAAACGTTATTGTAACCCCTGTATTCAGCCGGGGAAATGCTTGAAAGGGAACCCTCAAAGGAACTCTATTTGAAACGTTGATATAAACGTTACTTGGAGGTTCACGGGTAATTAAAAGTATAAGTAGCGCTTGGAAGTAGGATAGCTATAGCAATAGCCTGTAGTAGAGGACTTATAACCCCACTTATAGCTACCCATGAACCTCCATGTAAAACCCCTTTCCGAGCCCATATAGAACCCTTATAGAGCCCTCATAGAGCCCTTACAGATCCCTTAAAGGAGCCTCATAAGCCCCACTTGTAGCTACCCATGAACCTTCAACTAGACCCTAAACCTTAAACTCAACCCTAAGCCCTTCAAGTACAAATACCTAAACCCTAAACTCCTAAACCCCAAAAGCCCCAAAACCGTAGCTCTTCGTAATTTCCGCAGCAACAAAAGCAACACACAAGGACTTCATTGCTGAGGGCTTGGCTCTTCTGGAGACAGCGAACAAGCTCGTCGACACCGCACGTGACAAGATATCCGGCCATGCGGTTATGCAGGGCGATGAAAGCAAGGATGAATCCCGAGTCCCAAGGACTTATTTTCATGAGTACTTCTACCTGAGGGACTTCTGGTACTGTGGCTGCGGTGGGCACCACTTCAGATGGCCGGGGCCGAAACTCGCGCACCTGAAGCGAACTTCCACGCCGTGAGTCCGTGAATAGTCGCCATCGTACTTCCCTTCTTGGGTTTTAACCAAACTTAAGTTCAGGATCCCATAAAAATAACACCAAAAAGGAATTACAATGGAGACTATAGGTAGGCTTCAGGGTTTAGGGTTTCAGGGCTTCTTGGTTTCAGGTCTAAAACTTAAAACCTCAAGGTTTGGGGCTTCGGGTCCCAGCACCCCAAAGTGTTTAGGGTTTAGGGTTTAGGGTTACATAGATTTTTTAAAAATTTTTGGCTATTATAATCCCTAAGAAACAGCTAAAATTAGAATTTTTGCTAGGGTTCTAAGTTCAGTATAGTTTAGGGTTCAGGGATGCTGCCTCTTGGGTCTCCCTATATCACTCTGCGGGTGTTCGGATGACGATTGTGCAACTTCCTGGCGTCGAGGGTAAACCTTGAAAGCCTCCAACCCTGAATCCTAAACCCTAAACCCTAAACCCAACCCTGAATCCCAAACCCTAAACCCTAAACCCTAAACCCAAGCCTGAATCCTTAAACCAGATCCCGCCAAAATCCGCAAACCTGAAGAACCCAATCCCCTAAAAACCTAAGACTTTCTCAGGAGATCCCCGACCCCTATCCTGAAACACCAAATCCCCGAAACTATGAAGACTCCAAAGCCTAAAAATCCCAAGCCCCACATGGGTGGTTGTCAAAATCAGGGTCCCTTTTTGGGTCCTTAATATAGTACGACACCTAATATTTAGGGTGCCCAAAAGAGGACCCTAATTTTGACAACTACCCACATAACCCCGGAACCCTAAACCCTAAACCCTAAACCCTAAACCCTAAACCCTAAACCCTAAACCCTAAACCCTAAACCCTAAACCCTAAACTCCTGAGGAACCACGCGCAAGGAGTGGCTTTCTCTGCCAGCGCGCTGAACATTTCGGCTACTCGCTTGGGAAGGCTTTCAGGTTCTCGCACTTTCCAGGTTTCGTGTTGAGGGTAAAGGCTTTACAGGGAACTCTAGAAAGTTGGAATATGGTTTCATGGTAGGATACCCTATAATTTACCATAGAAGGGTTAGGATAATCATATTCCAACTTTCTGGCTTCTACCCAAACCCTAAACCCTAAACCCTAAACCCCTAAACCCTAAAACCCTAAAACCCTAAACCCTAACCCCTAAACCCCTAAACCCTACCTTAGGGCTTTATGGCCCCAGTCACCTGTCGTATAGGTCCTTATTCAGCTCTAGGCTCGGGTCTTCTTTCGGATTTCGGTTTAGGGCGTGGGATTTGGGTCATACTGTTGATGGACAAAATCCTGCATGACCCTTAGGACCCTAAACTATGGGAACTATGGTATGTTCCTTATTATGGGTCATGCAGGATTTTGTCCATCAGCAGTAGTTTCAGGTCTATAGCTGGCGTTTTCGGGGTGAGGTTCAGGTTCAATCTTTCAGCTGACACAAAACGCTCGAATTCCTGAGCTCTAAACCCTACACCCTGAACCCGAAACCCTTAACCCGAAACCCTGAACCCTAAATCCTAGCCCCAACTCGAGTCATACTGGGACATGGGGATTGGCGCTACAGATTGCATGTGTTGTCGAGCCTAATGACGGAAGTGCCTCCAGGAGCAGGGGGCTTAGTAAGTAATCTCAGGGCCTTAACTTATAGAATAGCTATACTCGGCAGTAATTATTCAGGCCCTTAAATAGCATGTCCGTAAGTTGTAAGTTTATAAGCAAGGCAATCCGATAATCTAGCCATGTACGAAGTCCCATGACCCTTTGAGTAGTCCCTAAAACCGAAACCACCGTCAGCCCAAGCCCTTGGCCCTAAACGCTAAGCCATTAAGCCAAAAAAGGCCAGGAACAAGACCTAAGCCTCAACCCTGAAACCCTAAACCCTAAGCGACCAAAACCAGGACCTAAACCCCAAACCCTGAACCACCAAAAGAAAGACCTAAATACTAAGCCCTAAACCACCCAAAAGCCGCCTCAGGCAAAGATTTTTATGCCGAAGACGACGCCGAGCATCAAAGTGGACTCGGTGCGCAGGCAAGGGAGTTAGGTTTTGTTAGGTTACATTATACACGGACCTAGAGTCGGCCCTTATTCCCTTTTGTTAGGGTTCAGGTTCCCTCATAAGCCCCTTCAACCCAAAAAGGGCATCCTTGTCATTCCTAGGTTATTCTTGGGTCTAGTACATTACATCATAATATCGTATTGTACTATCATATTACACCCTATAATGGGCCTTCTTGACAGTTTACTACCTTTATGCTTCATTCTCAAGGTTGAGAATCCGGATCTAGGAAACGAGGTTTACACGGAAGCCATACTACATTGTCCAGCTACAAGGCTTGGAAGCACAGTGAGCGCGAGACTCGTAATCCTGGTGCGGCCGGCAAGTAACCCTCATAATGTGTTAGCTTTGCAGATGTATGGTACGTACGGGAACGGCAATGCCTGATGCCTTAGTTTCAAGCGCTTTGGGGGGCTGATGGCATGCTTACGATTCTATGGCGATTTCCGCCTTGACTTGCCAACATGATTCGACCGAAGTCTCTCACCTCAAGGTTCAGGGTTCGAAACTGAAAAGAGCGAGCGCCGCGCTGCAACTGGGCAGGTATGCCAATGACATATCCGAAGTCATCCTGGTCGGAGATAACTATGATGCTGCCTATGCGGCTACGGTGGTGCCTCGCCTGCAGAATGGGTCAACTGCCAGTTCCTGAGCTTTCAACCACCCCTGCATGGCAACCATAAGCCCATCTGAGCACTAAGCCTTAAACCTAAGCCTGTGCTGCTAAGGAACGCCTCACGCCCTTGGCCCCCGAGCCCCAAGCCTCAACAAGTTCCGATCAGGAATGCATCGAGAAAGAGGGGCGCGTGTTAGTGCACCCGCCGCCCGGCTTGACTTCAGATGTGCCGATTTCAAGGTTCAGGACTAAGACTAAGGCTTTAGGACTTATGGCGTCAGGCTTCAAAGACATGCGCCAGCGACAACTCTCTGAGAGTAAAAGCACATCCTACAGACTCCAGACCAGTCCATTCAAAGAAGCTGTAATACGGGGCTTGAATAATTACCGGCACTACTTTAGTGTGCCCGGTTTAGAAGTGTAGTTTTGGGGGCCCCCAGCCCTATTCTGACTATGAAGGCTCCCATATTACTGAAGATTAGAACTGTCAACCCTATGTCCCCCCCTTGCCCTTGCGAACCCTGCTTTTAAAATACGACTAGGTAGGCCCCTGGCTGTTTGACATTTTCCCGTATGGGGCATAAGAGGATCTTATCCATACTATAACCCCCTTGCTTCTGAGTGAGAGTCCTTACTTGCGAAAATTTTCCCTCCTTGGCTCAAGAGGATCTCACTTGCGAATGATTTTTCAGAGGCTTTGAAGGAATCTTCTAAGATCCCTTGTAGACTTATAGGTCCATCAAAAGGAATCCCCCAAAGATCCCTTATAGATCCCTTACAACGAATCCCCAAAGATCCCTTCGAGATCCCCCTAAACCCTAAACCCTAAACCCTAAACCCTAAACCCTAAACCCTAAACCCTAAACCCTAAACCCTAAACCCTAAACCCTTATAGATCCCTTTAAAGGGCCACTTTAAGAGAACCCAAGGCCTGAACCAGACACGAAACCCTTCATTTGCCCCACGACCGACTGCCCAGAGACGACACAAGGAGCCTTAATTTGGTGTTTTCGGGTTTAGGGTTTTAGGGTTTAGGGTTTAGGATACTAGGGTTTAGGGTTTAGGGTTCCATATAGATTCCTTAAAGAGTCCTATAAGGATGTCTTTAAGGGCATTTCAGAGACTCCGTGCCCCTTAGTTGAGGAATACCTTTTAACTTATAATAGGACTCCGAGTGCAGTTCGAATATTTGGGCCTTAGCGAGGATCTTCAGTGGTATCCTTTTTGACTTTTGTTGGTTGCCAGTAACCCAAACTGAACGGGCTAGTTATGAAGCCTCGAATGTCGCCATCCGGAGTTCGACACCTGAGCCCTGATGTCGAAGTCCTAAACCCAAAGCCCCACAGTAAAAATCTTCAGCCCTAAACCCAAACCTGTAAATCCTTGAGCCGTGCACCCCGAATCCGAATCATCAGCCGGAAACCAAGAGCTTTGAACCTGACTACTAACAGGTTCAACGATCCCTTGGTCATTGCCGGCCAGGGTACTATCGGAAAGGCGGGGAAACCCCACATGCTTTAAGCCCAAAACGCAACTCCGAAAACTCAAGAACCCAGAACCCAAAGCCCGCAAAACCCGAAACCCTAAACCCTATTATAGATCGCTTTAAAGGAACCCTCATAGATCCCTTTAAAGGAGCCCTGCAACCCTAAACCTGCACCGTAGTTTGAGAGGCGAAGTCTGCAACTGAAGCCTGACCACCAAGCCTAGACCCATAACCCCAAACCGTGAAAACCCTAAAAGCCAAACAATCCCGAAAGAAGAGCCAGCGCAACTAACAAAACAAGGCTCTGAACCCAGAAACACCAAGGCCCAAACCTCAAAGCCCGAAACATGTTTTTGGAGTCCTCTGCATTTGGAGCCCCACTCGATAGAATACGACTTCGGTGTAGATGATATGATGACGATACCAGGAACTAAAAGGGATATTGTAGCTATATCAGGAACTCTGCGGAATGTTACCGTTCTACTGGGAACTCTACGGGATGTTCTCACTTCTTATTCCGACCCTCGAAATTACAGGGAATAGCGGCAGCAGTGCTGCGATGCGGACAGCTGCAGAATCCTTACTTATGGGTTTGGGTTGGTTCAGGGATTCTAGGGTTGCGTGGTTGAGCGTATACCCTGAACCCACAACCCCGAATCCCAAGCGTGCAGGGGATACGCAAGGCTCTTGGTAGGGGAGGGTTTAGCGTGTCAAGAGCCGATACCAACTCCAATCCCCAACCCCTAAACCCTAATTCCCTAAATGGGTGGTTGTCGACATTATGGTCCCTTTTGGGGTACCTATTATAGTACGGCACCTATTTTTTAGGGTACCCAAAAAGGGACCCTAATTTTGACAACCACCCAAATCCCTAGAAACCCTAAACCTCAAAGCTTCAACCCTATATTGGCTCCTATGAGGAAGCGCCATGAAGGAACTACAACGTATAGAGTAGTGAACTGGGTTTAGGATATCATGCTAGGATTCCCTTTAGTTGACCATACGGCCATGAGGATAATGATGTTCCAACTTTCTGGTTTCTGCTGTAGGACTTGCGAGTTTCTGACAGTCGGGGACCCCCTAAATAGTAGGATCCCTATTAAAGGACCCCAACGTAAGGTAGTTCCAGCTCCCTAAACCCTAAACCCTAAACCCTCTAGCTTGAATCCTGAGATCCCCAACCCTACAGCTTCCAGCTGGAGAGGAGATCCTAGAGCAAACGACGAAGGCTCCTTTCTTTGGGTTTGGGCGTTTAGGGATCCTGTGAGGGATCTACAAGACTAGGATGCCCAGTAGTACCCTTATTCCCTTTTTGTAGTCCTAGGCTCCTTATATTATAAAGTTAGCTACCCAATACCAAAAAGAGAGGCCTTTTTGTTCTTGGGTTACTGGGTATCCTAGGTAGGGCGTTTAGGGATCCTGTGAGGGAGATCTACAAGGGCTACTATGAAGGTTAGATTTAAGGTTTGGTGTTTTAAGGTTTATATGGAGTGTAGGGTTTCGGGCTATTTGGGATTCAGGTTTTTTTTGGAGTCTAGGGATGTAAGGTTTGGCGTTTTCGGGTTTCGGCCTATTTGGGGTCCAGGGCTATTTGGGGGTTTGGGCTACTTTGGGGTTTCGGGCTTCGGGTGGGGTTTTGCAGTGTAGGGTTTAGGGTTTAGGGTTATTTTAGGGTTTGGGCTTTGCCGTTTCGAGTATGTTGGGGATTTTGGGATTTGAGACCTTTGGTTTGGGGGCCCCTGAACAATCAGAATTGGTAGAGGTGGGAGTTGGAGCTTTTTTTTCCTTATGTTGTATCAGCAGAATACCAGTACTCGTAGCCACCACTCAAGTACAGAAAAGTTTCAACATTCCCTGAATTAGAGGTACTCTTAAATTATCATGGCAACCTCTTCTGAAACCCTTGTACAAAGCCTTGCAGGGCCCTTCGAAACGTCAAGTACAACCGTAATCAAGGGACTATCCTGGACCGTGAGCCCTTGCACCAAAAAGCAAAGCATAACCCGAAAAGCATGACAGCTTTTAATTGTTCGTTCTCCCTAAACACCCTAAACCCCTAAACACCTTACAAAAATCCCTAAACACCCTAAACCCCTAAACCCCCTAAACCCCTAAACCCCTGAACCCCTAAAGCCCTAAAGCCCTAAACCGCCCTAAAACCGCCCTAACCTTACAGGAGGATCTCGAAGCGGTCTTCTGCTGCGTGGGCGGCGGCGGTCTCTTAGCCGGCGTGGCCAGCTTCCTGCCGGGCTGCTCAGGGGTTCCTTTAAGGGATTTAGAAGGGTTCTAAAGAGGTCTATAAGAGGGACTTTGGGTATAGGGTTTAGAGTTCTAAAGAGGTCTATAAGAGGACTTAAGGTTGAGGGTTTAGGGTTCTAAAGAGGTCTATAAGAGGGACTTAGGGGTTCCTTCAATTAAGGGAAATAGCAGGGTTCTAAAACGGTCCATAAGGGCTTAGGGTTCCTGCAGGGGTTGCTTAAAGGATACCTAATACCAAAGGTTAGGGCTCAGGGTCCTGTTTATAAGTCTAGGGCTTGGGGCTCCAGTTAGGGTTCCTGAAAGGGTTGCTTTGAAGGTACGACAAAGATACTATAGGTTGGGAATCAGGGTTTCTGTAGGTCAAGGGTTTACGGCGCCTCCATTCGTTACCCCTGTCCGTCGCAGCTCTGCTTGCAGGAAGGCCGTGAAGCCGTCCATCAAGGTGTCTCGGACGTCTATCTGATTAGGGAAGGTTGAGGGTTTAGGGTTTAGGGTTTTAGGGTTTAGGGTTTAGGGTTTAGGGTTTAGGGGTGTAAGGTTTAGTGTTTAGGGTAGGGTTTGGGCTTAGGGTTAGGGCTTTAGGGCTTCAGGCTTAAGGTTTACGGTCTAGGGCTTTAGGTTGCGTCCTTCAAGGCACCGGCGGTTGGGTTTTAGGGTTCAGAGCATGGTATGTGTTTGGATCCTTAAAGATGCTAGGGACATGGGACTTAGTAACTAGCGTTAGTATCAGGGTAACTACTATCACAATTGGTCTGGAATGCCCGGTAGTCATAACCATACTTAGAAATCATTAGGGAACCCCAAACAATACTAGGATCTAGAGAAGGCCCTTATTCCTTGTTTTAGGGTTCAGGTTCCCTCATAAGCCCCGTTAAGCCCAAAAGGGCACCCTTTTTTTCCTAGGTTACTCTCGGGCCCCTAAACCCTAAACCCCCACAATAGTTGAGGTACTGCTCCCATACAGTAATCGTCCATAAGAAGGCTACTATTAAGGTCCTAATATACCTATATTAAGAATCTTATTCAACTATTGCTGAGTGAGGGCCATACCCAAACAATAGTTTTTTTTGGTTCTGCTTGTGGTTCTGTCCTCAGTGCTGTGTTGCTGGAGTCAACCAGGAGTCGGCAGCGTATTGGTACGGCTGATGATATGAATCCTAGGGTTCCTTTAAAGGGATCTACAAGAGTAGCTTTGAGGGGTTCTTTTAAGGGATCTTCAGGGCTTTTACTATTGACGATATGAATCCTGCATTACCTTAAGGGCGCTAAGCTATGGGAAATATGGTAGATTCCCTATTATGGGACATGCAGGCTTTAGCTCATCAACCGCTGTGATTTAGGCACCTCTGTCATACTTAAACCCTAAACCCTAAACCCCCCCTTTAAAGGATCGCGGGACTGAGTCATGCTTTGGGAGGTTCTGCATTAAGCCTGCAACCGCAAGCTGGGGCCCGACCGCTCAAAGGATCATGGGACGTAGTAACTGGGGTTATGATTAGGGTATCGGTTTAGGGTTTAGGGTTTAGGGAATGATTCAAGAGATCTATATATAGGGGTTCTAGAAGAAGGGTTTAAGGGTCTACATGAAGGATCATGGGACTTAGTGACTGGGGTTCCTTAATGGTTCAAGGGATCTATATATGGGTGGTTGTCAAAATTAGGGTCCCTTTTTGGGTCCCTATTATAGTA